ATTCAGGTTATCTTAAAACTTGTATCGAAGTCGTGCTTATGTCATATAAAATAGAAGAGATGTAGATAGAACAGTGATAGTTTTTAATTTGACCACACAAGATGTACATCCCGTTGCAACGCACGGGCGTATTTGCTAGTAACTAATAAAATCAAAAGTTCAAAAACCAAAGATAGATTCATTATATAAAAAAGATGCAACAAAGGCTAATATAACATAAGGTAAGGTTCAGTAAAAAACCCATATATAGGCGCAGTCAAACGATGAAAACAGACATAGAGTGATCAGTAAATTTACCGCAACTGCGATTGAGATTATAGAGTACCTAAATTGGTATTGTGTTATGAATAAATGTAGACAGTAAAGATAACTAATTTTGATTAGTTATATGTACTAATCCATATAACTTTCTAATACTCCCTCCGTCCCAAAAAGTGATGTTCTAGTATTTTTCAGACAGATTAATGGAGAAGAGAAATGTCCCTAATACCATTGGTTTGTTGGACTTGATTCCCTTAAAAAAGATATCCCGTGATTTACTTGCCTAATAATTAACATGCTCTGCATGGAAGCATGCAGACTTCCTGTGGGCCAAAAGCATGTCTAAAGCTCACAACATCATTTTTCTAGGATAAATTTTAAATCACATAGCATCACTTTTTTTAGGGGGACGGAGGGAGTATTTCTTATATGATGTAAGATTCTATAGGCCATGCTGGAACACGGGTCAATGGGTTAGAGCATCTCCAACTACTCCTCAGTACTACTCCAATAAAATCATAATGGGGTGGTCCAATATTATTTTCTAGATTATTTGGAGAGGTGTTGCATCTGATCACCAATAATCTCTCCCAACACAATGGGCCTACCTGTCAGATTGCAATTAATTTATCTATTCTCATTTTTCCCTTTCTTTCCATCGCAGCATCGGAATCGTGACAAGTCCCTGTTGCGCCATCGTCGTCCCCGATCCTGGCCATCACAATACTAGCCCCAGCCCCTGTGCCGACCTTGTCCTCAGCCCTTGCCATAGCCATGCTAGCCCCAGTTACAGTCCAATTGAGTCAGCCCCGGCCACGCCATGGCATCCCTGACTCTGGCCATCGTCTCGATAGCCCTGACCCCAGCCACAAAGTCCTGGCCTTGGCCCCTCCCTGAACCTCCGACCCTAACGAGTGGAGAGCTCATTCATCAAGCTAAGCGCGCGCGCACACACACACATAGTCCTCGCCACCGCCATCTCATGCCGCCTCCGCGTAGGTACCGGTTGAGGTCCTCCACGAGGATGAGCCACTGCAGGGTAGTGTCCAAAACTAGGGTGTGGAGGTCGCCGCAGCCACAACACATGGGTTCGGCCATGGAGGTGCACGTCAGCACCGGCGTTGGTCCACATGAGGCGTTGGTCCACCGAAGGGAAGAGTAGCATGGGGGAGGCAAGTGATAGTTTGGTGGGCCCTTGACTATTAGGGGAGATGCAACTCACTGTTTACTTGAAAGGAGACAATACGTGGAGATATTGGTGGCCACTAGAAAAAGAGAGAGAACTGTTCGAGCATGGAAAAAGACTGTTGGAGATGCTCTTGGTTAGTAATAATTTTGTTAGAGCAACTCCAAGAGCCTCTTTATGTCTTTTCCTAATTGATATCGGAGTTAAGATTTTGGTTGAAAAAACACCTTCCAACAACTTATTTAATTTACTCTCCAAATATTATCATCCTCTATTCCGAATTTCTCGCTAGGCAAAGCTGGAGAGCTAGAGGTGTTGGTTCTCTAGAGTGCGCAGAAGGTATTGAAGAATGTTAGAAGGTGAAAAAAAATACTGAGATCGATTCTTATTGAAGGATTATTTAAATAATAATTTAGAGAGTGAGTTTAAAAAAAGACTCTTGAATATGATCTTAGTTTGTCTTACCTTCCCCCTTTACATTCATATATATTCCTTGACGGAGAGGAGAGTAGACAGTAGTTTGCAATGTTTGTTATATCAGATTGGATATTCCTCTCCTAACTCGACCCATGCATGCCAACATTACCTTTCACCCACCCTCTAATGCCACTGACCTGCGCGCACTTGCATCTCTCGAAGTGAACGATGTCCGTCTTATTATATATGCACTCAGCACTTGGGTCTAAAGCTCATTATTTAGAACACAACACACAGTTAAATTAGTACTTGGCTTTTGAAGGGAGTTCCCGTATCTTTTCACACTTCTAGGCTCAAAAGATGACGCCGCGCGCGCAGTGCGTGAATCATACCTGAAAACTTGGTAGCACATGCATGTGTGTTGAGAAGGTAAATATCACAAGAAGTGAATAGGGACATTTTTCCTTTTTGTACATAGATTTATATGTTGCCGGACCAAATCAGCTAGGTTGATATGTATCGCTATATGATGATTTAAAAAAAAAAGATCTTCACCTAATCCATCATGCTTTTTTTCTTTTGCGAAGTCCAACATGCTTTTCTCAAACAAAAACATCTTTATTAGGTGGTACAGTATTATTGTTTTATATTGGAAACCCGTGGCGACACCTATATATATAGGAGTATACATATATAATTAATATGACATGTGTACCAGGAGTGAGTGGCGCTTCCACTGAACAGAGTGACATGGCAGTAGTTGCCAAATTACGTCGTACGTGGTACGTACCGCCGACATGTCCTTGATTGGATAGCTTCATTCCAAGGTTAAGATGGAAACCTGTGGCTTATTAGCTTGCAGGTCCAGTAACGTCTCCCACTGAACAAACTGGAACAATTAAGTGCTCGCCTATGCAGGTTTAGACATGCTTGTGCACATTCGTTTGGAGCCAACCACAATGTTTCACTCGCTACCTGCAAGGGCGCCGTACGCCTGTACATACACAAATGTAACCGTAACAACACGTACACTCTTTAATACATATACCATAATTTATATGTGTGGCGGTGCACGCATGCAATTCCACAAGAATGTAGTAAGTGTTGTACACAATGCAATGCATTGCAAACGACGACGGAGAGTGGTATTGCATTGCTGTCCACCATTGATGGATGTGTCATCACTTGAGAAACAAGCTGGCCGAACGATCGAGCTGATCGATCAGCATTAAGACGCCCGGGGTTAGTTGCATGCACAAGTCAATTTTCAACCACCGCTACCGTAGCTTGTTATGCTCTTAATTCTTATTGATCCGATCCGATATATATTTCCACGATTAGGTTGATGTGTGCCAAACAGTAGCTTCTCCAACTATCCAGGGTTAATTTTCCTAACTAGAAAACAATATCAAAGCTACCTGTCAATTTAATAGGGCCAGCAGTGTGAAGTGATTGATGATGTCTTATATATGATCCATTGCACCTTCTCATTCAGAAGCATTACATGTTCATTGATCATTTCATCTTATCCATTCCTGTTCTTGCATTGGGTTCATCCATCCTTGTGACAATTCCGGTTTACAAGCAGGATGGACCATTAAAAATTAGCCAGGATATCCACACGGACGTCAAAGAGTGCATGCATGCATGCTTAGTGATTGTACCAGGACAATCATATCCAATCCTCAAATTATATGCCTATTTTTTTTACTGTATATATGTACTTGAAACTAATGATAGCTAATTGGATGTTTACGACCGCTAAATCCTAATCATAGATGGAATATTGTATCCATATGTAATGATGCTGCGTTGACATTTACAACTTATTGGATATTGGCTTTTCTGGCCAACTATCAAATTAAATTCAAGCAACCTATTAGCTGAACATATACTACTAGCCTACGATATATATGAAAAACAACAACTGGTCAAAACATATACTGTTTAACCAAAAGTTGCATAGCAACATATATATAGCTAGCTGCTTATATATAGCATGAATTGTCCACCATCTCAACGAAGACGACAACTACACACACAATGATCTATAGATTTCAACTGATCTATTTGAAAGCAAAAGTTCAGAAAAAGACTAAATCAATTTGGTTGGAAGTTGAGTATAGTTTTCTACTGGTCATATATCGCACCATAAATTTGCTCTGCAACTTCTACTATATACTCCTGTTCATTTAATTATTCCAGAATTTAGTTAGCATTGATGCCACTGGAACGAATGAAAAACATGTTTATACACATTGTGTAATGCACTGAGTTGAGTTTCACATGCACGCATCCACGAGTACTAAGGCCCTGTTTAGATCGCACCCAAAATCCAAAAATTTTCAAAATTCCCCGTCACATCAAATCTTGCGGCACATGCATGAAGCATTAAATGTAGGTAAAAAGAATAAATAATTGCACAGTTTGCCCGTAATTGGCGAGACGAATCTTTTAAGCCTAAATAGTCCATAATTGGATAATTTTTACCAAATACAAACGAAAGTGCTACAGTAGCCAAAAGCCAAAAATTTTCGCATCTAAACGGGGCCTTAAAAAAAGGTTCGGTACCATGTATATAACAGAGCGCGAAAAAATAGCTTGACATGTTTATGTGTATTCTAAATTCCTCTCAACTAATATTGTTTGTCGTTTCTGGATATTTACCTTGTACTTTGAAAGTAAGACTTAACCACTCACTCATAAGATGGAGACTCATATCTGTCCTTGCATGAATAGTTCTTATATTTAACAAAATATGTTGACAGGTGTATTAAAGCTTAGTAGACATATTTTTCTTTCATCACACACAAGTTATTTCGATGAGGTAACTAATCTGCTTACCCTTACCCGGCCCATAGAGGAGCACTAAAATGGTTAGCTATACATAATAGAGAGGACTGCAAGTACACGTGCAGCAAAGAAGTACTACTATAATGAGCAATGAAATGATTAATTATAATATAGATGATTGCATGGCAAACACAGACTATCATTATTATGTCCACATTACAGTAATTAACACAGATAATTTAATAGGAAAAAAAAAATATTCGGAGTACGCACACAAACAAAAGAGAGGGAGGGAGGGAGGGAGGGAGGGGGTGAGAAAGAGAGAGTGCATCACACATATTGACTAGTGATCGAAGTCGAGATCAAACATAGCCTGGCCGAGCTGCAAGATGTTGCTGTGTTGGTGGTGCTGATGGTGAAACCCTAAGCTTGGCTCTTGCACTTGAGCTATATTTGATGTGGTATCACTGGAGACTGCTTGGGTCTGGAGGAAGCAAGAGCCTGCTGACGATGAATGGAAGGGGAAGCTGTGATGCTGTTGATGGATGCCGTGGTGCTGTTGTATTGATGCCTTCCCCTTGGGATCCACTGCTTCTTTCACCACCTCTCCAAGATCCATGGCTTGATCTTGTTCTTTGGACAAGAGTGCACTTCCCAGTATCTGTGTACCCAACCCATCTCCAATGTCCATGTTCTTGCTGCTACTTCCTGCTTCTGTTGAGATTTTGATTCCAATGAAATGGTGTCCATGTTACTAAAACGAACAGGCTATGTATATAGGTCAATTATATATAAGCATGTTCATGTTGTCGTGCACAACTGAGCACCTTTGTGTGTCCAGTCTCTCAATAAAAGAGGAAACTTTTTGGAGACACAGCAGTAATAAGAAAAGAAAAATAGAGTGTAGAGATCGAGTATAGCATATATATCACGTACTGTCTTTAGCAGCAGCTGCTTTGTTCGCATGTGCCCTTTTCTTGTCTCCGGCATCAGCATCCGAAGGCTTTGACTTCCGGCGGCGACGGTTGTGGTCCGCTAGGCGTTTCCTACAGCTCTTCTTGGCATCGTCGAACTCATCCAGCAGATGGAATCTGAGTGACAAAGATGGACGATGAAAAAGAGAAAAAGAATTGAAGCAAGGGTTATATGAAAACATACATACACATGAAATACCAACTAACCAGCAAAGTCACGCAGTATATATATCACTCATATATTGTAGTAGGATTATATGATGGCTAACTTAGTATCACCTACATATATAGCAATACTAATGCATGATGAGTTGATGATGCCTCGTACATGCATATGATGGGAGATATTTCAGTCCAGGAGTCCATTTCCTCAAGTAAAAACATCTAGAACTGAAAAAAGGAACATTCCGGGGACCAATGGCATGTTACTAATGATGATCCAGGACATGAGAAACATATATCTCCACTGTTCTTCCCTGCAGACAGCTTGGAGTTTTGCAACTGACTCATATGGTGTGTCTCAACGTGGTGAATCATTCTGGGAGAGACCCTGTTTACCCTTGAATGCATTGCCGGTAATTACTTCAAACGTGCATGCTCTTCAGACGAGATCTATTTGCAGGTCCGGCCGGTCCATATGGATTGGCCGGTAAGCAAGAGACGTATATATATATCTTCTCTGGCCACCGAATAGATTGCTACTATACCAGCCACTTGCTGGAGGAGAAACAATATACGAGCGAGAGAGAGGGTAGAGAGAATTAAGGCGTACGTTGTTGCTTGCATTTGCAATTTTTGCTCGTACGTACGTACACCGGCTGTACAAAGTCTTGCGATACTTGGAAGAAAGTAGCCTTGCTTCTGACTTTTGAGAGGCCAATGCTTTTGTACAGCCAGCTCACTGTGTCAAGCAATAACTACTCGATCGGAAATGCGAAGGAGAAGTCAAGGAAATAAATGGAAACGAAACGAGTAATGCCAAGGAAGAAATAAGTGGAAAGGAGTAAATAATTCCATGGTAGAAATAAACTGGAAGAGGAGAAGAGACAAAAAATCTAGGACAAACTTCTGCAAATGGCGAACAGAAAAATGCCTTGTTATTGAGGACACATTTCAAGGGCAAAGGGATATGAAGAGAGAACATGGCTTACAGACCTTTAGCTTTGCAGCCAGTAAGTATTTTGCATTTTGTGTTAACTGGATTTTGTCAATTCAGCATGTTGGCTTTGTCGTTGGATTTAATTGTCATATAATAGTATGTAGATCGAGAAGTAGTAGTTGTTAAGTAGGAGTACAACCATTTTGGGATGATAAGCTAGTGATATTTGTATTGTCTCAAGAAATATGAGTTTTTTTTGGAGAAAGCTCATGAAATGGAAACATATATAACGAAATGTAGGTCTAATTGGGATTTGCTTAAAATGCAGCTGAAGAGACGAAGTCAGAGATAAACAAGGGCAAGGATGATATCATGGAAAATTAAAGCAATAGCTTTCACCCTTTGTTGAATTTGACTTTTATAACTAAACTAAAAAAAGGTAAAATAGTTATCCACAAAAACTGTAAGTGATATATCATTAGACGAAACAAAGTAATCTATCAACCAAAAAGATTTCTCTGACAAAATTCTAGCTTGGAAGAGAGCCAAACCAAACGTGAGAGCATGAATGAAATCAGTTTCGATCAAGCTGGCCAATGAACTGAAGGCGACTTTGAGATCACTTAATGCAACTCGTGATGATTTCAGAGATGTATGTGTAGACAAGATCTACATAGATATCTGAAGTATTAATTACCCAACCCGACCGTAAAGATAGCTTATTTACCCCCTCGAATTAAGTTGAGAACCAGGTTTCAGAGATCGATGTGCATCTAGCATCGATGAATTGAATTGAATCGAATCCACTGACTGACTGACCTGCTGCACTGCTGGCAGAACCTCTGATGCAGTCCACCGGCGGTGACGACGACCGGCGCCTTGGAGTGGTGCTCGCAGACCTTGTGGCGGCGGTGGTAGCGCTTGGCGCTGGAGAGATCGGCCTTGCATCCCTCAGCCTGGCAGCGCGGCGGGTGGTGGCCGTACGTGTACCCTCCTCTCGGCGGGAAGTAGGTCCGGTAGCCGAGGTTGAGCCCCAGCTGCGTGGCGGCGAAGCTGGCCATGTTCTCCTCGGCGGAGCTGACGAGGGTGGGGAAGTAGTACTCGGGCGCGGCCGGCGGGTAGTACGACGACTGGTGGAAGGTGCTCCCGGTCCCGGCGGAGCCGAAGTAGCTGTAGGGGTTGCCGCCGGCGCCTGCGGCGGAGGCGAGGTAGTGCGAGGCGGAAGCAGGGTAGAACTGGAGGATGTCGTGGGGGCTGTGGCCGCCGGCGATGGTGGTGGCGTGGTGGTGGGCGGCGGCGTTGGACGGGGGGAGCAGCGCCAGGGAGTTGGCCTCGAGGTTGTAGCCCAGCTGATGATGATGCTCCTTCTGGATGCTGCTCTCCTGCTCCATGATTGGGAGCAGAGAAGGGGGAGCGGAGCCCGGGTTGGACGGCACGTAGGGGAACTCATCGCAGGCGGCGTTGGCGGCAGCCGATAAGTTCATCATCTTCTCCGCTTGCTGCTAGCTAGTTGCTTTATGATCGATCGATCGGCCGGCCGATCTGTGGTGCAGGTGCAGGTCGCGCGCGGCTAGCTGGGAGGGGAGGGAGCAGGAGCAGGAGTAGGAGCACACGCACAAGCACACGGAAATGGAGTCGTAGGGGACGGAGGGGAGGGGAGGACGGCGGCAAAAGGACAGGCACACAGCTCGCCGAGATCGATCGCTAGCTGAGTCGTCGCAGGTGGAGGCGCGACAGACACTAGTATGGTGGTGTTGCCCGGGCCATGGTGGGTGATGGCGATGACACAGATATATGCGCTAGCGCCGGCCGGCAGCGCCCCTCTCGGCCGGGATCTCTTTTGCTGCTAGCGGGCCGGGGCCGTGGGGGTGGAGACTGGAGAGAGAGGGAGATCGACGGCGAGAGCGAGGGTACTTTTCGTCTAGGGTTCCATGAAACGAGTGGTGGAGTGAGTTTTGAGTTATATCTAGCGACGCCCGCTGCCCGCAGGCCGCAGCGCAGCTAGTAGCTAGCCAGGGCCGGCCGGCCGACCGGCCAGTAGAGAGAGATCGTGGCGGGTCGATCGGAGGGCCGGAGATCGAGCAGTGCAAAGGAGATCTTAATTGGAGTTGGTGCGGGGTGATAGCAACCGCGCTGCCGCTGCTGCTGCTGCTTTATGGTTTGCCCTCCGTTTTTCCTCTCCTGCATCCGTATGCTAGGCTGGGGGTATGTATCCGTTTCAACGTAGCGTACGGCACTGTTGCATGTGTGGCCTTGAAGAGAGGAGCTAGTACTAGTATATACATGTGCATTGCATGCATCGCTCTCCTCTCCTCGCTGCCGTCGTCAGTGTACGAGACGGTGGGTACGTACATGGCGCCTGCGCCCATGAGAAGGTATAGTGACGCCAGGGCCAGGGCAGCCCGGACGGGACGTGTCTCTTCGTTCCATGCATTCATGAGGCGTGATCTCATGGCCCAAGTACGTACCGCCGGCGGACCTCCGTCGATCGATCTCTCGCGCTACAGTGCCGCGCATGTACGTACATGTGAACGAACATTGCTGCCTGCAGCTAGTAGCAAGCCCCGCAGCAGAGAGCCGGGTGATCGAGCTTGTATTCTCGCGCAATGAGTAGCAGCGCACGTATGCGTGTACGTACTCGTGTCCCGGCCGTTTCTCCACGCTAGCTCTACGGCCAGGAATTCTCTTCCGCTAGCTATAGCTTGCGGGTGAGGTGTCCGTCGGGTACAATTTCCAGGTGTGTAAATCGCAACACTATTTCGGCAATCAATAAAGTTTGCCCGTCACGGTGCTTGCTTTTATTTAGGGCTGCCAGAATAGCCTAGCCTGGTGGGCCCTTTATTTCGTCTATTTCATTCATTCATTCATCAGCTGGTGCTCTATTTTTCTTCCTAATTAAGCTGGTGGAATTTTTGGCTTTTTTGTTCCACCGTGGCATTGGATGCGACGACCCGACCTTATTACTCGCCACCTTCTTCAACCTAATTAACCCCCTTTGCTAGCCCTAATTGCCACCGTAATTTTGCCCACACGTAAGCACCACCTCCTCATCATTATTAACTTTTTATTATACCCTGGCATTGCCACGTCCCAAGGTTTTCCTGCCCCATCTAAATTGAAATGACTCCACTAGTTGGTCGCCTAAAGAAAAGATATCCCATATTTTTTTTTTCAAATTAGTCAGTACAACGCAAACACTCAGACATGTACATACCCATATCCCCGCTCCCTATGAACGCATGCATATATCCTACTCTAAAAACACCTCTTAAATACTGAGCCAATAGATCTCAAGATTGACGACGTCACCACAAACTCCTCGATATTGCAATTGACGGATACATCACCTATGACAGAAAGAACAATGTCGTTTAATTATAAAATAAATCTAGTAAAATACGAGCACTGACGTCAAGTCAAACCCGGATGAATAGGTTCCACCGCAAGCAACCTGGCCAGCTAAGTTGTGCTTAGTTCGCAATAAGATTTGTTGGTTTAATTTACCCGTGGAGGGCCGAGATGCCAGTCAAGGCTCATGCCATATCCCCCTCTTGTTGTGGAAGAAGTGCTACATGTGGTTTACACTTTACTATCTCTATTCACTAACCTAAAGAATGAGAGGAATAAGGTGACACACACCCTAAAGCAAAAAAGAAGAAATGACACCCTGGCTTACCCTTACAATCAGTCCACATTTCCTATATGTCATATGTATAAATTGATATTTTCCTACAATTCTCCTTAATTTGAGGCCAAAAGATGCAGACTTATAAAGATTCATATGATGGTTTTATTTATTACTCCTAAAAATCCAGGAAGACAGATATTCTCCCAGAGGGAAATCAATATTTATTGTTTAAAATGATAGGAAATGTAGATTTCTTATATATGGTGCAAGCGTAACCTAAAACATGGGGTTCATATACTTTTTGTTTTACATAAAAGCAAAATGCACCACAAGTCCATTAACTTTTGTAGGGGTGTTATCTAGGTCCATCAACTTTCAAGCTGTATTTTTTGGTCCCTAAACTTTCTATGTTGTGCATTGCAGGTCCATAACCGTTCAGTTGCTTGGTAATTTTTTATTGAACCCCTTCACTTCAATAATTATGTCCCAAAATAGCCTTATGGAGAACATGAGCAGGCATCGGCGCTGGGAGCCACGCCGTTGCTCAGCGAGCGTGCAGGCGGTCACACAGGACAGCCACACCGCCACGCCAGGCCAACAACGCCATGGGATCGGGCAGGCGCCTGTGCCACGCTGCCGCCAGGCAAGTGGGCAGCCGGCTGCGTGTGTTAGGATCATAGAGTACCTCTGTTAAGTAGATCAGTGGTAAGCCCCTTGGACGCCAGTGTCGAGGGAGCTCACGCGGTGGAGTCCAGCGTGGTGGAGATGTCCAGTGGCGACGGCGGAGTCGGTGGGGCTTCCCGTCGCTGGCAGCACTTCCTTTGGATCGGGTTAGGTTTTCTGTTGGTGGATCACGACGGCTCAGACCAACCTCGTAGTTAGAGCCGTGATCCCCACCTCTCTTTTATATGTGCTGTGCGACAGGGGCCCACCAACCATATTAGGGTTGGGCGCCCCCGATCAGGGCGCAGAGACAAGGGCCCTGGGCCTATTGGTGGAGATCAACTAACATTCTCCCCCTTGATCTCACTACCATCTTTCAATTTCATATCATTTACTTTTGTTTCGTTCCATTACAGATTAGCGCATAGAGCATGTTTCATCGTCATGGTCAATTACTGATAGATTTAACAGCTACAACACACCATTCTGTTCTGAAATAGATACTTAACTTTGGGCCTTGTTTTGTCCAGGAATTTTAGGCTTTCCTTAAACCCATGCTAGCTACATGTTCTCTGAACATATTGGGTGGCAAGTCTTTTGTAAGCAGATCCGCGAGCATCTTTTCTGTACTTCTATGCTCAAGACTTATGACATGATCCCGGACTTTATCTTTCACAACATAATACTTTATGTCAATGTGTTTGGCAGCACCACTTGACTTATTGTTGTGAGCATACTGTACTGCCGAATTATCATCGCAGTATTACTTAAGTGGTCTATAGATGTCATCAACCACCTTCAAACCGAGTATGAACTTCTTTAGCTAGTTCACCTGCCCCATTGCCTCATAACACGCTAAAAACCATCATACATTGTGGACGATGTAGTGATGGTTTGCTTTGAGATTTTCCATGAAATAGCTCCCCTTGTGAAAGTGAATACATATTCAGACGTGGATTTTCTATCTCCCGCATAATCAGAATCTGAATATTCCACTATATGGAGTGAATTAGATCTTCTATACGTCATCATGAGGCGTTTCGTTCCTTGCAAATAACGCAAGACTTTCTTTACCACTTTCCAGTGTTCTGTTCCAGGATTGCTCTGGAATCTGCCAAGTAACCCGGTAACAAATGTCAAGTCAGGGCGCGTACATACTTGAGCATATTGCAAGCTTCCGACAACTGAAGCATATGGAACCACTTTCATTTAATTGATCTCATATTGGTTCCTGGGGCATTTAAAATCCCCATATATGTCGCCCTTGACTATAGGAGCAGGTGAGGGACTACATTTGTGCATACAGAATTTCTTTAAGATCTTTCTATGTATGCCTTTTGTGACAGTCCTTATATCCCTTTACTTCTATCTCGGTGACTCTCGATCCCTAGAACGAACGAAGATTCACTAAGATCTTTCATATCAAATTTTGATAAAACCTCTTTGTCTCCAGCAATAGACTGACATCACTACTAGCACGTAAGATATCATCCACATACAAGACAAGGAAGATAAACTTTCCATTCTTAAACTTTTCCATAGACATAATTGTCCTCTATATTATCTTTAAACCCAAAATTCTTTATTGTCTGATCAAACTTCAAGTACCACTGTCTTGAAGTTTGTTTTAATCCATAAATGGATTTCTTTAGGCGGCATCCCATTTGTTCTTTTCCTTCCATGACAAAACCCTTCGGTTGTGCCATGTAAACATTTTCCTCCAAGTCCCCGTTGAGAAATGCCGTCTTTACATCCATCTAATGTAATTCTAAATCGTAATGTGCCACTAATGCTATTATGATTCTGAAGGAATCCTTACATGAGACTGGAGAAAAGGTCTCATTGTAATCAATCCCTTCTCTTTGCGTAAAGCCTTTTGCCACAAGTTGCACTTTATATCTCTCCATATTCCCTTGGGAGTCAAGTTTTGTTTTGTAGACCCATTTATAGCCTACTATTTTGGCTCCTTTAGAAATTATCTTCAAGTCCCAAACTTTATTGACATTCATAGATTTCATTTCATCTTCCACGGCCTCAAGCCATTTTGATGAATGATTACTTTTCATGGCTTATTCAAATGAGGTGGGATCATTCTCCATTTGAAATTCCTCAGTGTTGTATACTTCATTGTCAGTAGGAATAGCTGATTTTCTAACTCTTTGAGACCTTCTAAGGGCCTCCACATTTGGCACATCT